TTGTTTGTTAATTAGTTAGTTTGCTTGTTTGCTTGTTTTAATCAATTTTAAATCATGCTTTTTATTTGTTTTTGTTTCTAATGTCTCTGTAAAGCACTTTGAATCACCTTGCTGTTGAATTGTGCTATACAAATAAACTTGCCTTGCCTTGAAGAGTAATATGGATAGAGAGAGAGAGCACCGGGTCCACTCCAGCAGGGACTCAAGGTCAGGCTGACCCAGAATGAGAGAATCTGCAGGGGCTGCAGAGGGCAGCGTGATGTTTTTGCAAAAATATGTTGTTTTCTCTACTCTAACTCCCGTGAATGGAGGATTCAGACAGAATTGCTAATACTTGTAACTCTTGCTGTGCCAACCTTTGCGAAGCTCACGTCCTGCTTTGCTCAGACTCCATTAAATGTTGACGTTAACGCTGTAAACGTGATGTTAGTGTAAATAAATTGGTCACAAAGGAACCACAAAAAGTGGTGGAAAACAATCCCATTGAGGTTGAAAAGAAACAGTAGGAAATTCAAAATGACAGAGAGAAAAATCAGATGGCTGTGTCCTCTTCCAGGGGCCTGTAATTCCATGTTTTTCATCTACAGGTGTATTTGTAGCTCAGTATGAAAATGGCATTGAGCCAAACTGCTGCTGTGCAATGGATTGTTCATGAACACAATGTGGTATAGTTGTGCATGTATCCTCACACCCACTTTCACTGACTAGAAGTGCCTTCAGAAAAGAATTGCACGCTGTTGCTCATTTGCTATCTTGCCAGTGGCATTAGTGATCACCTTCAAGCCAAAGAGATGGAGGAGAGTGGCTAAAATGCACTCAGCCCGCATAGATTTCTATAAATGTGTCAGTGCAAATGTGGCAGATGGGATGATTTCGATGCTGAGAGCACATGATCTTGTGATGGAAGTTAGGGGCTCCTGCGTGTGGCCACCTCCCTTTTGATTTACACTGACGCAATTTCATAAATTTCAAAAGCAGCTATAGCCACAGGAGAGTTAACCTCCCCTGAAATTTCTGCCTCATCAACAGCAGCAATTACCCTTGTTATGATGAGTTTTGTCCACCTCCTGGCCTCAAACAGCCTTTTGATGCACCCTGTTTTATTATGCTCTGTATCAGAGCACAAGTGTGTCTTTGTAGCTATTAGGAAATTGATGTAATGCCATGCTATTTATTATAACAAATGACACGTGGATTGCAAAAAGAGGAATAAAAGACACGTTTTTTTGCACCCTGATCGTCCCCCTGGCAGGTGAACTTTCAGAGCTGTATTATTCCATGTCTGTTTGATGTGACATTGACACG